TTCATTCCTGCGGTGTGTATTCACCGGGAGCGCTATGCACCGTCTGCTTCGGCGGTGGATGTCGAAAGGTCCCGGGACGCCACTCGCAAAAGCCGTTGCTTGCTCGCAGTCATGGTACGATTTTTGGCGAATTTGGAAGAAGAGGAAGAAATAACAAACCTCAAATTACTCGGTTGGGATCGCAACAAAGACAAAGAAAGAGCCTTTAACAGACTGTTGGGGCAAGTGCTGTTAGCGAGCGCCTATTAAGGCCGGCACGGCACATGAGGCGGTGGGATGTCCAGCAACACGCCCGGCCGTCTTTGTCTCTCCAGTGACTGTGTGTACACACCGCACCAGGTACTCGTTTGAGGCCGAGTCGACCTAGGGGAGGCCCAGAACCGGTTCAGATAATCGTCACTGGTGTTATCCGTGAGCGGGAATCCAACTCGGGTCGCCGGGTTCGCAGCGCAGCGCGCTAACCGCTACCACCACCGCTCACACAAACGCAGAGAGCGGCAATCATCGCTCCTGACTGCGAAATCTTGGCAGGACCCTCCTGAAAAAGAGTCCTGAGATTCGGCGACGCTCTCTCTCTCTCGGGTAAGCAAGCGGATTGATGATCACGATACCAACGGTAGTAAAAGGATACAATGAACGAGAGTAGTGAGGAGTGCTTGTGAATGGTTTAGGGCGATGAAGTAAAGTAGCATACCAATCTGCATAGAGTAGCACGTGTGTGTGTGGGGGGGGGGGGGGGGCTGGAAACAACAACCCAAACCTTCTCGGTGGACCCAGTCCCATCATCAGTGAGCTCCTCCGGCAGGCGAGGAGGCTGCGTTGGCTGGGTCACTTAGCCACCACATGCCCAGCCACCACATGCCCAGCCACCACATGCCCAGCCACCACATGCCCAGCCACCACATGCCCAAGCAGCTTCTGTTCGGCGGGATAGAGGGGGGCTAAACGGGGAAGGGGGGTAATCTCTTACAAGACGGCTGGCTGACGAGGAAGAGTAGGCCGAACACCCTCTCGAGGGGCTCTCTGGTGGACGCCCTTACGTCAGCAGTGGGGCGATAAAAACTCACGGATATGGTGCACCTCCTCAACATTCATCTTGCTGTGACGTCGTGTGACATGCAAGGCATGCTGGGTGCAACGGGCTTATTGATCACGATATCATAGCTCGCTGGCGAAAAAATCCGGAATGGTCGCGGGATCTTTAACGTCCACTGTGAACCAGACAGCGCGTGGTATGGTGTACTGCCGCTTGATACGCCCGCAGTATTTACCAGGGCGGACGCTGGAAGTAAAACCGTGAGCCTCTGCGTCGAGCGACCAACGGCGCATCTTGTCCTGTCTGTGTGTGGCAAGGTGAAGTTGGCATCACTGTGTGTGTGTGTAGCCTGCGTATTGAGCCAGAGGCGTAGCTAGGATATTTTGCGCCCGGGGACGAACTATAAAATTGGCGCCCCCCCCCCCCCGTTTAATCACATTTTCCTAATACATCGAATAAGGAATAACAATAAAAATGTTAATGAAACATTGTATTTAAAGAAGCAAATTTATAGAAATTATGTTACATGGCTCACTCAGTCACTGTCGTAGACTGGTTGACATAGTCTACAAAAGATTATTTTTTCTTGATTTCATTGTCGCCAACTGGTCAATCACGTAATCAAAATCTGTTTTTCCCAATGTTTCTCTTTCAACGCTAAGAAGAGCAAGATCGCTGAGACGATCTTGTCCCATTGAAGCACGCAAATACGATAAAATAAGTTTCAATTTTCTTGGTTCTTTCGGTAAAGTCACGTAGAAGGGAAGTAATAAAATAATAAAAATAAAACATAATAAAACAATTCATTCAGACGCTGTCGCCTCGACAGACCTGGTTTTCACCTGAGGACGGCTGCTTGTGTTGTGGCCGAAACGTCGTGAGAATTGTTTTATTATGTTTTATTTTTATTATTTTATTACTTTCCTTCTACGTTACTTTACCGAAAGAACCAAGAAGATGAATCCCTGCAGTCACGAAAGCTTTAAATCGAAATTTAAGTTTCAATTTGCTGAACGACCGCTCACAGCTTGCAATTGAAACTGCTATTGTTAATACAATGTGCATTGAAATTCGCAAATTCGGAAATATGTCGTCTCCATAAAACACAATAAAACCAAGATGATCCAAAGGAGTTTCTGGTAGAACTTAATTCCGGTTACTGAGCAGCATTTTGCAATCTCCAATTTCTGTGAAAAGTTCGTAGCCATTGATGTCGGTGTCATAGAAATTTCCAAAATCTGTGCAATTTCGACGAATTGCATCGACATCTGTGTCGGATAGAAGAGTTTTGACGTCCAGCAGAAATCCAAATTTTGTGTTCAGGTCATTTAGTCGTAAAAACCGTGTTGATAAAATACGCTCTTCATAACGCGCACAATTTCTTCTTCTCCTGAAAGTCCTGCAACTCTTGCCAGTTCTCCTGGCATCTTCCCACGTCGCCTAATTCTTCTGTCCACATCGATCCCCCAGGCTGTGCATCTTGTTTTGGCGTTTTCTACAGCAAATTGGCTCAAATCATCACGAAGCTTGACAAATTCATGCTCCAAAGATTCAAGATCAGTTGCTGCTTCCTTGAAATTCATAGTAGGATCCTGTAAGCGCTTCTGAACACGATAATTTTTTCCAAGAATGAGATTCCAGAAATGTAATAAAACTATGAAGTTAAAATTTAATACGCATGCAAGTAACTGCATCACTTCTGGTTTCAGGCGTCATAGTTACGTCCTCTGATAATTTGTCTAGCAGCCCTACTAGTTCATCCAGTCCTTCATAGATAGCTTTAACAGCTTCTGATCGTGCACTCCAGCGTGTTTCAGTCCCGCTTTACTGTGATGGGCACAGCTTTTTTAAACTCTTCCCAACGAATTGTTGAACGAGAGAAAAACAAATATATACGTTCAACTGTTACAAAAAATGTGAAGACAAGTGGATCCTGTTTAGCTGAGTGTACTCCTGCTAAGTTTAAGCTGTGGTTGTCACAGTTGACAAACAATGATCTGTGATTTTTGTCACATATTCGTTGTTGAAGGCCTGTTATATGCCCAGTCTTCACAGCAGCATTGTCATAACATTGTGCTGCTAAATGAAGGCCACGCTATGTTGACGTGCGTGGGCTGCTCCGGCTGCTACAGCCGCCTGGAGCGTGGTGGTGTCACTAATAAGAACTAAAAATTGGCCGTCGTAGTTTCCGCCACCAAAAAACAGGCCAGTGACTAAGGCTGAAAGACTGCGCCTGTCTGTTGTTTGGGACGTTCTTCCATGTAAATTCTTAATAGGCGCGCGTACAAAAATGTAATTACATGACATGTAGGCTGTGTGTGGCGGGATATAAACACTCTTAGGTTGAGGTGTAATTTTGTGCAGTAGTTTCAGGCTGCCGCGCCCGCCGCAATAACTTATAATGTAACGTTGTAAGCCTTGGCGCCCGGGGACATATGTACCCCCCTGCCCCCCCCCCCCCCCCCCTTAGCTACGCCTCTGTATTGAGCCATCGGAAAGCCTCTGTTCAGGCTTGCTGCATACCGGCGATACTGCCCGGAAATCGGCAGTGTTGCATCCGCTGACCCACGCTCTGTGAATCGGCGGTGCAGTGGGGGGGGCAGTGTTGGATCAGCTGATCCACGCTTTGTGAATCGGCGGTGCAGGAGGGGGGCAGTGTTGGATCAGCTGACCCACGCTTTGTGAATCGGCGGTGCGGGGTGGGGGCAGTGTTGGATTAGCTGACCCACGCTCTGTAAATCGGCGGTGCAGGGTGGGCAGTGTTGGATCAGCTGATCTACGCTCTGTGAATCGGCGGTGCAGTGGGGGGGGGGGGCAGTGTTGGATCATGCGATCCGTGGGCTGGCTCTGGTGACTGCAGCAGTCACATTTGCGGGGACTGTCGGTTAGTTTCCCATCGCGACGAAGCAGGAGGCGACTGCATCTGCCATTCCCCGGTCCGCAGCGGGCCAGGGGCTCACCCACTCGCCGTGACGGCGCTCTACGGCGAAAGGGGGCCCACGTGAGCGCTCCAGAGGTTGGATTTGGCACCGCGCGCTGGAAGAGACGCGGGCTGGGTACGGGCAGTGCGTGGCGCGTCACTCCCAGGCTGGGGCGTGTGTGCGTGTGCACGCGTGTGACTCACGTATTCATCTGCTGCTCCACGCTCGCACGCACACACAGAGACGCCTGAGTCGTCCTTTATTATCATCTCGCACCCGCGCGTGTTCCTGCAGATGTCGAATTCTTCTTGCGGACGAATTCCAGATTTATCTGCAATGTAATAAATGTGTTCACGTCGATTTCAACCGTAATCATCTTTTTTTGGGGCTTAATTCGCTAACAAATTGACATTCGTAGCCTCTGCAGCTGTGTGCATTATTGCTGCAGCGGGCATAATTTTCTGAGGATTATATATACACGTTAGAATTATGCGTTAGCTCTTTGACCCGCGAGACCGATGTCGGGACATTAATGACCAGTAAGCGTTATTACGAGCTACCGGTCGTAGTGGATGTTCAGCAAACAGGACAGACAGACAGATAGAGACATTGCTGGATTAGAGTTGATCATCCTGCAGAAGTAACCATCCGTCGTGGATGTTCAGCAAAGGAGACAGACAGATAGAGACATTGCTGGATTAGAGTTCATCATCCTACAGAAGCTATCGTCCGTAGTGGATTTACAGCAAAGGGGACAGACATACAGAGACAATGCTGGATTAGAGTTGATCATCCTACAGAAGCTACCGTCCGTAGTGGATTTACAGCAAAGGAGACAGACAGATAGAGACATTGCTGGATTAGAGTTGATCATCCTAGAGAAGCTATAGTCCGTAGTGGATTTACAGCAAAGGGGACAGACATACAGAGACAATGCTGGATTCGAGTTGATCATCCTACAGAAGTAACCATCCGTAGTGGATGTTCAGCAAAGGAGACAGACAGACATACAGAGACATTGCTGGATTCGAGTTGAACATCCTGCAGAAGGCGGCTGTTTCCACGGCTGAGCGGTGGGCTGCGGGTCAGCACAGATGGATGTCCACAACGGATTTCTGCACAAATACGGTAACGGGACGTCTGGACAACACACGCGTGTTAGAAGCGTTATATATATGTTACGACTGTACCATGAAGAAGGGCAATTGCTCGACACGTTTCCTAAATATGTATTTGCCGTTCTATTGCAGTGTTATTGACGGATGTGTTGGGTGTTGTTGTTGTTATTTGTGCTTGTGCACCGGTGCCAACGCGGCATATGTGGGAACAACGCATGCGGATCCATTTGTAGATACCCCACTGATTTCTCATGATTCCACCCCTCATATTTACTTTATTAGCCACGGCTGAGTGGACATTGCGCATGAAGGAATGGGCTAAATAGTGGAAAAAATAAAATCAAGCAGTGCATGTGCTGAGATTGGCGAGGAACGTGCAGAGGCTTTGATTTAGAATCGTGTGTTCTCGATAGACTGCAGTACATTTTCAGTACTGTATTATTTTTAATGTGGTATCTATAAATGGATCTTCCTGTGTAACGTTACAGAAAGCATATACGGTATAATAAGATGATGATGTTCCGATTTAAAGCTTTCGTGACTGCAGGGATTCATCGTCTTGGTTCTTTCGGTGAAGTCACGTAGAAGGGAAATAATAAAATAAACAAATAATAAAATAAATCGCACGACGTTTCGGCCACAACGCAAGGACGGCTGCTTGCGTTGTGGCCGAAACGTCGTGAGAATAATTTTATTATGTTTTATTTTTATTATTTTATTATTTCCCTTCTACGTGACTTTACCGAAAGAACCAAGAAGAAGAAGATGATGATGATGTGTATGACGATGCAATATGCGAGTTGGATTACGACGATGATTAATGCAATTGATAAGCACGACTTATCGATTGTTTCCGACGTTAATGGCAATGATGACGTTTAACGATCGTGATGATGACGACGGTAATCACGATACATTTTTATTCCACGAGAATGGTGACGGTGAGTCATGGTGATGACGATGACGGTGGTTGCGATTATAATTTAAAATATGATGATCTACAATCACAATAATAAGGCTGACGATTTACGATCACGATGATTATGGTGATCATCATCATCATCATGATTTGTGAGACGACGATGCAATAATTTTCCCATCAACTCATCGATAATTAAAAAAAAAACCTCAACACAGTCGTCAATAAGTACTGCGTGGCCTTCAAAGTAGAAAACAATATTTCAACGACGTTTCGGGCAACGGCCCTTCTTGATTTATTGAGAGAACATCATACTACCTCATAATATCCTGACAAAAGCTCCATTCTTTTTTTAATATCTAATTTCTTAAAAGAACCGCTCTTTGTGCTTAGTTTCTTGTCCTTCCCCCGCACCTCCAAATGAGTATGGCTGGCCACGTACGGTGCGAAAGAAGTTCAACGTACGTAATAGAGATTTAATCTCGGCACGCCGTGCGTCCCTGCACCATGAACTCATCATGTCGATGATGTTGTGTGCTACAGATGCCTCCGCGCGCTCATGCTTTGGCATTAGTACAGTGTGCGTGGATTAACTGGGGGAGTCATATAATCTGCACAATGTCCCGGACGCTTTCCCGCACAGAGACAGAGAGAGAGAATTCGTTGCGACCCAGATTTAATCTCGCTGGGAATCCAACAACAAAGACAACGATCTCCCCGTGCAGCCTTAACAAGGGCTGTTGGCGAGCACCCATGAAGATCGCCACGGCACGGCCGCCTTTGTCTTCCCAGTGCTGATGTTCATTGCACAGCGCACCAGGTGCTTGTTTAAGGCTGAGTCGTCCTAGGGGAGGCTCTGCACCGGTTCAAAATTGCATCACTGGCCTTAGCTGTGAGCGGGAATTTAGCATGGCTGATGGACATCTGTAAAAAAAAACAAAGAGCTTTATAACTCATCGGGTTTTTCCAGTATAAATACATTTCTCTGAATCTGGCATCCGCACCTCGACGTCCACTCCTCCACAACCCCCTCCTCCTCCCCCCACCACCTCCACCACCACCAGGGGGATTTCTGGTGAAGCGCTGGCGGCAGCGTTACGTGGCGGTGGAAGAGGACGGCTCGTTGTACATCGCCAGGGGTCCCGGGGCGTGCCCGCGGGGCCCCATCGCCCTCCCGAGCGCCTGCAGGGCAGTGGTGCCGGGCCTCGAGGTGGGCTCCCTGCCACCGCTCCCGACAGGGGCCCGGCCCGAGTGCTGCCTGGCCCTGCAATTGCTGGGAGGCAAGCACGTGTTCCTGCTGGCGGGCGACGCGAGCGAGTTCAGGTGTGACTATTTGGTTCTTTCGGTAAAGTCACGTCTAAAGATAAAGTAATAATTCTTTGGTTCTTTCGGTTAAGTCACGTCTAAAGATAAAATAATAAATTAAATAATAGCATATTACGACGTTTCGATTGCAACACAAGCAATCGTCATCAGGCATAAAAGAAATAGCAACCAAAATCTAACTAGAAAACTATAGACAGACATACAAGCAGACAGACATCACAAGGACACACAGAGAGAGGACACACTATAGACAGACATACAAGCAGACAGACATCACAAGGACACACAGAGAGCGCTGGCGGCAGCGATACGTGTCCTCTCTCTGTGTGTCCTTGTGATGTCTGTCTGCTTGTATGTCTGTCTATAGTGTGTCCTCTCTCTGTGTGTCCTTGTGATGTCTGTCTGCTTGTATATCTGTCTATAGTGTGTCCTCTCTCTGTGTGTCCTTGTGATGTCTGTTTGCTTGTATATCTGTCTATAGTTTTCTAGTTAGATTTTTCTTGCTATTTCTTTTATGCCTGATGACGATTGCTTGTGTTGCAATCGAAACGTCGTAATATGCTATTATTTAATGTATTATTTTATCTTTAGACGTGACTTAACCGAAAGAACCAAATAATTATTCCTGCAGTCACGAAAGCTCAAAAATTAAGATAAAATAATAAATTAAATAATAGCATACGACGTTTCGATCGCAACACAAGCAATCGTCATCAGGTATAAATGAAAGAAAATGAAATAGCAACAAAAATCTAACCAGAAAACTATAGACAGACATATAAGCAGACAGATATCACCAAGATACAAAGAGAGAGAGAGAGAACAACACATAGGCACACAGAGAGAGAACGTCTCTGTGACGAGGTCACGAAAGCTCCAAATTAAGATTAGTTCAGGTGTGGTTTTTTTAATGCCCCCACTGTAATGCCATCGTGCTAGAGGCCGTATCTGCATTATAATTGCTATGGCTGAGATACAGCGTGGCATTTGGTGATAATAATTTATTTTTAACTGACATTTTATTTTTAAAAAGGGAAAATGTTACATTGTGATTATGATTTGTTAGAAATTTTATTATTTTATTTATCTTATCTGTTATTGTTTATTATTCATTTATTCTATTGCGACTTGTTGTGTTTGTCGGAGAAGCGGCGGTGTTGTTTATGTTGATGAAACTTGAGTTGTGCGCCTTTTGGCGTCATCTGGTCCAACACCATGTGAGACTAGGCTCTAAGAAAAGCTGTCTCGGGTGTGGGCCAATCAATTTAAAGGACAGTGCATACATTATCAGAGTTGTGTTTTTGTTTGCATTCCGACCGCAGGTATTGTGGTCAATGCAAACATGACTCCTTGTAAAAAAGGTGTCAGTTTTGTTGCCAGATAAAAGGGTAAAAAACCAATAGTCATATTTTGCTACTGGCAAAGGAGGTTCCAATGGACTAAAATGTATACAATGAAGAATAAAACAATACTCTTGCGCAAACACAAATACTGTAAATGTTAAATCAAAGCTAAAATAGAAAATTCCCTGCAACGAAAATCTGCTCGGGCAGATTACTTACAGATCGATGACAGCAATTAAAAACGAAGCTGCAGACACATTAAACATTAACACCGATATATAGCGTGAATATAATACTATATTACGTAAACAAACGCCCATATATGTCAAAGGCAATCACTCACATCACACCCGCAACCTTCCAAGGAGCATAAACCATCACGCGAACTCCGATCATCCTCGCAGCAACGGAGTTTGATTAACCATCGAATAAATACGGTCACCGCATCGCGTGCTTTCAGATGCGTTTCTGCGGCCGTCTGGAACGCTCTCCCGATATTAGGAAGTCACTTTAGCTATGCACTTTTAAATCATCTATAAGATTGAAAACTCATTTATTTAGAACTCCTTTTTGTGTTCAGCTTGTTGTCCTTCACCCCCCTCCCCCGCAACTCCGATTACCACGGTTTGCTACGTACGGTACGAAAGAGGTTCAACATACGCACGTACAGTGAGGGAAAAAAGTATTTGATCCCCTGCTGATTTTGTACGTTTGCCCACTGACAAAGAAATGATCAGTCTATAATTTTAATGGTAGGTTTATTTGAACAGTGATAGACAGAATAACAACAACAAAATCCAGAAAAACGCATGTCAAAAATGTTATAAATTGATTGGCATTTTAATGAGGGAAACAAGTATTTGACCCCCTCTCAATCAGAAAGATTTCTGGCTCCCAGGTGTCTTTTATACAGGTAAAGAGCTGAGATTAGGAACACACTCTTAAAGGGAGTGCTCCTAATCTCAGCTTGTTACCTGTTTAAAAGACACGTGTTCACAGAAGCAATCAATCAATCAGATTCCAAACTCTCCACCATGGCCAACACCAAAGAGCTTTCCAAAGATGTCAGGGACAAGATTGTAGACCTACACAAGGCTGGAATGGGCTACAAGACCATCGCCAAGCAGCTTGGTGAGAAGGTGACAACAGTTGGTGCGATTATTCGCAAATGGAAGAAACACAAAAGAACTGTCAATCTCCCTCGGCCTGGGGCTCCATGCAACATCTCACCTCGTGGAGTTGCAATGATCATGAGAACGGTGAGGAATCAGCCCAGAACTACCCGGGAGGATCTTGTCAATCATCTCAAGGCAGATGGGACCATAGTCACCAAGAAAACAGTTGGTAACACACTACACCGTGAAGGACTGAAATCCTGCAGCGCCCGCAAGGTCCCCCTGCTCAAGAAAGCACATATCTGAAGTCTGAAGTTTGCCAATGAACATCTGAATGATTCAGAGGACAACTGGGTGAAAGTGTTGTGGTTAGATGAGACCAAAATGGAGCTCTTTGGCATCGACTCAACTCGCCGTGTTTGGAGGAGGAGGAATGCTGACTATGACCCCAAGAACACCATCCCCACCGTCAAACATGGAGGTGGAAACATTATGCTTTGGGGGTGTTTTTCTGCTAAGGGGACAGGACAACTTCACCGCATCAAATGAACGATGGACAGGGCCATGTACCGTCAAATCTTGGGTGAGAACCTCCTTCCCTCAGCCAGGGCATTGAAAATGGGTCGTGGATGGGTATTCCAGCATGACAATGACCCAAAACACACGGCCAAGGCAACAAAGGAGTGGCTCAAGAAGAAGCACATTAAGGTCCTGGAGTGGCCTAGCCAGTCTCCAGACCTTAATCCCATAGAAAATCTGTGGAGGGAGCTGAAGGTTAGAGTTGCCAAACGTCAGCCTCGAAACCTTAATGACTTGGAGAAGATCTGCAAAGAGGAGTGGGACAAAATCCCTCCTGAGATGTGTGCAAACCTGGTGGCCAACTACAAGAAACGTCTGACTTCTGTGATTGCCAACAAGGGTTTTGCCACCAAGTACTAAGTCATGTTTTGCAGAGGGGTCAAATACTTATTTCCCTCATTAAAATGCAAATCAATTTATAACATTTCTGACATGCGTTTTTCTGGATTTTGTTGTTGTTATTCTGTCTCTCACTGTTCAAATAAACCTACCATTGAAATTATAGACTGATAATTTTTTTGTCAGTGGGCAAACGTACAAAATCAGCAGGGGATCAAATACTTTTTTCCCTCACTGTACATACAACATTCCCGCAGCCTTCACAGTCCACCCGCACCCCAACAACAACACCCGCACCCACGTGGCCCACGCGTTTCCCCCGTCAGCTCGCTCTGCACGGTTGATTGACGTGCGCTCTGTCACCATTCCTTGTGCCCCCGCAGGCGCTGGTTCGGCATCTTGATGCAAGCCAGGAAGGTGAGTGATGGGTACATCACGGCGCGGTCCAACCTCGCGTATTAAACGTTGTGTGCTTCGGCCCCCCAGCCCCCCCCCCTCATCCCCCAGGTCAGCTCACGCTCCCTCAAACAAACTCACCTATGGGACACTTATTTGCTGGTTACATAACAAAATAATAACATCTTCTTGGTTCTTTCGGTAAAGTCACGTAGAAGGGAAGTAATAAAATAATAAAACTAAAACATAATACAATTATGTTTTATTTTTATTATTTTAGTAATAATTTTAGTAATAAAATAATAAAACTAAAACATAATAAAACATAATAAAATAATACAAATAAAACATAATAAAATTATGTTTTATTTTTATTATTTTATTACTTCCCTTCTACGTGACTTTACCGAAAGAACCAAGAAGATGAATCCCTGCAGTCACGAAAGCTTTAAATCGAAATTTAAGGCATACATTATTGTCAACGCTTTTTTGTTTACATGTTTTATCATAAGTATGATGCTGGCGAATAAAGATCAGCCTTTCAGTATGCGTCTATTTGGTGTTAGAACATCTTAACACCTCCTGTATCATTGCCGGGAGGAGTAAAGCCTGTTATTGTTTCATCACGTTCCATTTTGTACGCACGAATGTTTCATTTTCGTTGGTACTGATATTCGTTGCTGCTGATTTTCGTTGGTAACTGATTTTCGTTGGTACAGTACTGATATTCGTTAGTATTGATTTTCATTGGTACTGATTTTCGTTAGTACTGATTTTCGTTGGCACTGATTTGCGTTGGCACTGATTTTCGTTGGCACTGATTTTCATTAGTACTGATTTTCATTGGTACTGATTTTCGTTGGTAACTGATTTTCATTGGTACGGATTTTCATTGGTACTGATTTTCATTGGTACTGATTTTCATTAGTACTGATTTTTGTTGGCACTGATTTTCATTGGTACTGATTTTCATTGGTACTGATTTTCATTGGTACTGATTTTCATTGGCACTGATTTTCATTGGTACTGATTTTCATTGGTACTGATTTTCGTTGGTACTGATTTTCGTTGGCACTGATTTTCATTGGTACTGATTTTCATTGGTACTGATTTTCATTGGTACTGATTTTCGTTGGCACTGATTTTCATTGGTACTGATTTTCATTGGTACTGATTTTCGTTGGCACTGATTTTCATTGGTACTGATTTTCATTGGTACTGATTTTCGTTGGTACTGATTTTCGTTGGTACTGATTTTCATTGGTACTGATTTTCATTGGCACTGATTTTCGTTGGTACTGATTTTCGTTGGTACTGATTTTCATTGGTACTGATTTTCATTGGTACTGATTTTCGTTGGTACTGATTTTCGTTGGTACTGATTTTCGTTGGCACTGATATTCATTGGTACTGATTTTCATTGGTACTGATTTTCATTGGTACTGATTTTGGTTGGCACTGATTTTCATTGGTACTGATTTTCATTGGCACTGATTTTCATTGGCACTGATTTTCATTGGTACTGATTTTCATTGGTACTGATTTTCATTGGTACTGATTTTCGTTGGCACTGATTTTCATTGGTACTGATTTTCATTGGCACTGATTTTCGTTGGTAACTGATTTTCGTTTAGTGCCGATTTTCGTTGGCACTGATTTTCATTGGTACTGATTTTCATTGGCACTGATTTTCGTTGGTAACTGATTTTCGTTTAGTACCGATTTTCGTTGGCACTGATTTTCAGTGGCACTGATTTTCGGCGGAGTATTGCTCACCGTTGCACTGCGCACTCGACCTCTCGACCTACAATCCCCATGGCAAACAAATGAGAACAACTCACAAGCAAGCAAGCCAAGCGCGCACACTGCTGCCAAGCCGTTCGGCCGTTTCCCCTTCGGTGGTCAATGTCACTGCGTCGTTGTAACCCCCCTGCCGTCGCAGGGCGTCCTGTGTCCACTGGACGGGCGACTCACGCCGTCTGCCTGGCCAGCCGACCCGGCCACTCGCGACAAACAACAGCGGCGCAGAGTCGCCGCCGCCGCCAGCAGCACCAGCACCGCCGCCTCACCATCCCCAGCGCTCTTCCGTCTCGTCTACGCTCCGCGCTACCCTCGTTCATCGCCGCACGCCGCCGCCGCCGCCGCGCAACCCGCCCTTCCGCCGTGCTACCACAGGCGACACGAGCGGCCCTGCGTGGACCTGGCCTTCCTAGTGACCGTCGAAACGGTGGCCGGGCCCGCGTTGGGCCTCGTGGCCCCGGGGTCGGTTGCCTCCATCGAAGGGGCAGCGCTGCGTGAGTGCATACTGGGGGCGATGGGCGGTGGCGGCGGTGGCGGTGGAGGAGGAGGAGGTGGAGGAGGAGGAGGTGGAGGTGATGCCACACTCTACCACGCTGGGACGGATGTGTTCCACGCGCTCGCTGGGGACGCGTACGGAGGAGATTTTGTGGATTACGACGGCTTCGAGGGCGCGGATTTCGGCGCGTTCTCGTTTTGAGGTGGCGTGGTGATCGCGTGAGGTGTCCCTTGTCCCCCGCAGCGGTCGTGTTAGTATTACTCACATTGATATTCACAGTTCGTGGGTGTTTTATTACTAAAATAGTGTTTAAGTGTATTTATAATGTAGGTAGCAGTATTACTCATGCTAGATTCCTCGTTCCCTGTGCACCCAGACGCTGCTCCGTGCAGCTCATTTCTGCTCGCTCCTTTCTACTCTTGCTCCTCCGCTCTCATCGTCACCCATTCACCACCCCCCCCTACTTATCATCTTCTTTCCCTCCTCCCCTGCCTGCACCGGCTCCACTCTTTCTTTCTCCCATGCTGCTCATCTTGAGCCCCCCCCTCTGGCGTGTCTCTCCTCTCGGTGGAGACTTTCACCCCGGCCTCCTTTCCCTTTCCCCCGGCGTCACCTCGGCCCCCTGTCTGCTGCACCCTCTGCTTCACCCTCTGCTGCACCCTGGCTGCTGCACCCTCTGCTGCACCCTCTGCTGCACACGCTGCTGCATCCCTCTGCTGCACCCTCTGCTGCACCCGCTGCTGCACCCGCTGTTGCACCCGCTGCTGCACCCTCTGCTGCACTCTGGCTGCACCCGCTGCTGCACCCGCTGCTGCACCCTCTGCTGCACTCTGGCTGCACCCGCTGCTGCACCCGCTGCTGCACCCTCTGCTGCACTCTGGCTGCACCCTCTGCTGCACCCTCTGCTGCACCCGCTGCTGCACCCGCTGCTGCACCCTCTGCTGCACCCTCTGCTGCACCTTCTGCTGCACATTGTCTGCTGCACCCGCTGCTGCACCCGCTGCTGCACCCTCTGCTGCACCCGCTGCTGCACCCTCTGCTGCACCCTTTGCTGCACCTTGGCTGCTGCACCCTCTGCTACACCCTCTGCTGCACCCTCTGCTGCACCCGCTGCTGTACCCTCTGCTGCACCCTCTGCTGCACCCTCTGCTGCGACCGGCTTGCACTCCCCTCCCCCCGTGGTGCGCTCCCACGGGCGGCAGCGCTGTACCCATCCCAGCGGCGCTCTTGGCCGGCGTAATGGCACGGGACGAAGACTTAACGCGCGCGCGCTTGACCGGGGGAAGCCTCGCTGAGTGTCGAGACTCTGTTCCAGGAGCGATCCTGCCAAGTGTTCACAGTAGCAGGGGCGCGATGTTGTTGTTCTGTGTGTGCAGCGGCATCATGGTGACCACTTCGTCAGCTGCCTCAGGGGGTGCGGCTTTCGGTCAGGTGGGGCCCCAATATTTGACGTTGCCTCGCACGGTCGCACCGAGGCTGTTACCTATACACGAGCTTGTTTGCCCGTCCTAGCACGGAAGCTGTATCATTTACGAGCAGAGTATAATTGATTCGTGTGTAAATTTAATGGCAGTGAATATTGCATGAAAGTATGTCAACGAACACTTTACTTCATGTCACTGTAGCGCCGTATATAACTGACCGTCAATTTGTTCAAATTCACTGCTCTGGTACTTTATTCTCTTCTGCTTTCGTCGTTGGGGTTGAAATAAATAGGAATTTGATACAATATCTGGAAAAATCACCGACAAATGTCTATTTTACCATAATATAGAAGCGTGAATTAGACTTACCGTGTTTCAAGTGCTGAATAAATAAATAAAGACACCGAAACCAATTTATTGCTGCGTCTAATTATTTATTAGATTCACTTTCAATAAAGAAACGTAAAATTTAAAGCGAATTTGCGAAATAAACTAATTTCCGCTCGACCTTCTTCAGCGTGAGTGTAAAAATCCACAAGCTCATGAATATTCATGACGGGGGGGGGGCGGGGCTTGTGAAGTGACGTCAAGCGCGTTACACACAGACAGACATTCTTGTCTCATCATCCTCTGGTTCAATCACATCAGTAAATGTAAACCGCGTTTTAAATAAGTGTGTTGTTCTTCCACACTCTTGTTGAAAACTCATTTCATGATAATTGTTTTTTTTTACCCTTCTATCTGGCAACAAAACTGACATCTTTTTTTTACAAGGAGTCATGTTTGCATAGACCACAATACCTGCAGTCGTAATGCAAACAAAAAACATAACTCCGATAATGTATGCACTGTCCTTGAAGTTGATTGGTCCACACCCGAGACAGCTTTCCTTAGAGCCTAGTCTCACATGGGTTGGACCAGATGACGCCAAAAGGCGCACAACTCAAAGACAATGCACCATCAGAGTATGAGAGCTCGGGGTAAGCATTTACACCATTGGAACCTCATTTGCCAGTAAAAATATGATAATTGGTTTTTTACCCTTCTATCTGGCAACTAAACTGACACCTTTTTTTACAAGGAGTCATGTTTGCATAGACCACAATACCTGTAGTCATAATGCAAACAAAAAACATAACTCCGATAATGTATGCACTGTCCTTGAAGTTTATTGGTCCACACCCGAGACAGCTTTCCTTAGAGCCTAGTCTCACATGGGTTGGACCAGATGACGCCAAAAGGCGCACAACTCAAAGACAATGCACCATCAGAGTATGAGAGCTCGGGGTAAGCATTTACACCATTGGAACCTCATTTGCCAGTAAAAATATGATAATTGTTTTTTTACCCTTCTATCTGGCAACTAAATTGACACCTTTTTTTACAAGGAGTCATGTTTGCATAGACCACAATACCTGTAGTCATAATGCAAACAAAAAACATAACTCCGATAATGTATGCACTGTCCTTGAAGTTTATTGGTCCACACCCGAGACAGCTTTCCTTAGAGCCTAGTCTCACATGGGTTGGACCAGATGACGCCAAAAGGCGCACAACTCAAAGACAATGCACCATCAGAGTATGAGAGCTCGGGGTAAGCATTTACACCATTGGAACCTCATTTGCCAGTAAAAATATGATAATTGGTTTTTTACCCTTCTATCTGGCAACAAAACTGACACCTTTTTTTACAAGGAGTCATGTTTGCATAGACCACAATACCTGTAGTCATAATGCAAACAAAAAACATAACTCCGATAATGTATGCACTGTCCTTGAAGTTTATTGGTCTACACCCGAGACAGCTTTCCTTAGAGCCTAGTCTCACATGGTGTTGGACCAGATGACGCCAAAAGGCGTACACCTCAAAACTCGTCTCATGTTGGTTGTCAAGGGGGCCCCGACTCGTAGCTTTGGCCACCAAGGGGGGGTGGGGGGGGGGGCAAGGCACCCCCCCCCACCCCCACGTCCGTTATGCTGCTGTTTGTGTGCAAATCCTCATCGAGTAATTTGCAGTGTTGATTTTTAGCATTGCGATATTTTGGCCAATTTGCAGTTGCGTTGTGTGCGTGTTTGTGTGATTTTTTACGCTATTGGAGGGCAACGGAGAACCCGGAGTAACGCCAATGCAGAACAGGGGGGGGGGGGGGGGTAGGAGGGGGGGGGGGGGGAAACCATACAGACTCCACGCAGAAAGGTGCCCGAGTCTGGAATCGAACCCGGGTGGGTCCCAGTTAGTCCAAGCTGCTGAAACCCTCACGCGTGGGTGCTGGGTGCTGGGATCCTAGCCGGGTGTGCAGTCAACGTCGCCTCCGCGTGCTGTACATTGCCCAGCGTCGTTCAGATGCAGTTGCGTAAATGATTGCTCCTAGCAAATGAAATAAACCTGCACATTTTAAATTATTATTATTATTAATACGTGGGCACTGGTTCCAATTCTTGAGCTTATCATTTCTGGGGCTCTGTGCGCCAAACCATCATCCACTTAGCATAATCTTTTGCTTCTACATTTAGGGGGCTGGATTATTTGTCCGTTGTAAATCTGACCAAATGTGATCTCTCTCTCTCTCTCTCTCGAGCGTGTGTGTGTGGGGAGCGGTAGTGTAGCGGTTAGCGTGCTGCGCGCTACGAGCCTGGCGACTCGAGTTCAATTCCCCGCTCACGCCCAATACCAGTGACGAATATCTGAACCTATCCTGGGCTTCCTCTAGGTCGACTCAGCCTCAAATTAGTACCTGATTGTGATGTGTAAACATCGCAACTAGATAGACAAAGGCGGCCGGGAGTGGTGGTGACGGCCACACCACCCCCTCGTGTACCGTGTCGGCCTTCATAGGTGCTCGCTAACAGCACTCTCCCGAAACGTCTGCTAATGCTATACGGGGGATCTTTGTCGTTGTGATTGCTGGGTCATGTGGCCTGCCTGCGCAGCCACCGCATGCCCGGCCACGCCTGCCCGGCCACCGCATGCCCGGCCACCGCATGCCCGGCCACCGCATGCTCAGCCACCGCATGCCCAGCCACCGCATGCCCGGCCACCGCATGCTCAGCCACCGCATGCCTGGCCACCACGTGCCCAGCCACCGCGTGCCCAGCTACCGCATGCCCGGCCACCGCATGCCCGGCCACCGCATGCCCGGCCACCGCATGCCCGGCCACCGCATGCCCAGTCACCGCATGCCCAGCCACCGCATGCCCGGCCACCGCATGCTCAGCCACCGCATGCCTGGCCACCACGTGCCCAGCCACCGCGTGCCCAGCTACCGCATGCCCGGCCACCGCATGCCCGGCCACCGCATGCCCGGCCACCGCATGCCCAGCCACCGCATGCCCGGCCACCGCGTGCCCAGCCACCGCATGCCCAGCCACCGCGTGCCCGGCCACCGCATGCCCGGCCACCGCATGCCCAAGCAGCTTTGATTTGGTCGGTCAGAGGGGGATAAACGGGCACGACACGGTTCAGTAGGATGTGGAGCTGAGTGGAGTTGTCGATGACTGGTACCAGCGGTGTCAAGACCGGCCTCCATGGAGGAGCTTCGTGAAGGACGCTGCTGGGTAGTTAGATGCAGTCGCCCTCCACCGTCCTGGTTATTCCTGTGGGTGTAATTAAAACAACAATAATACGCGCCGCCTACTTCGCTCACATTTCTTTCAAAGTGCTTTCCCCGCACCTCCAATTAGCGCGGTTGGTTACGTGCGGTGCGAAAGAAGTTTAACATGCTTGGATGTCAAAGATTCGCCGACGTCGTTTGCAAGAGTCGCCCATCGTGTGTGTGCCGCTGGCGTCATGGTCGAATTTTGAAGAGAGAGAGAAAAAACACCCACCCCTATTGGGATAATACAGCAGCAGAAGCAGCAGCATCATACATCGCTTCCGTCTGCGAAAACTTTGCAGGAACCCCGTATAAACAATGGTCTTGAGACTCAGTGAGGCTTTTTCCCTGCGTAAGACAGGGGTAGCGATGAAGGGGAACGTTAGTCGTGGCCATTGAACCAACCCGCGTTGTACAAGCAAGCAAGCAGCCTCTCTCTCCTCCGTCGAAATATTCTGCTAGCGCAGATGCGAAGATAGGCCACAAGAGGCCGCTGTGAGTCCGCGCGACGTTGAGCGGTTCCGATCCCACGAGACGAAGTCTCTCAAACTTAATTTGGAGCTTTCGTGACTGCAGCAATTACTCTTTGGTTCTTTCGGTAAAGTCACGTATAAAGATAAAATAATAAATGAAATACTAGCATACGACGTTTCGATAGCAACACAAGCAATCATCATCAGGTATAAATGAAATAGAAACACAAATTCTAGTATACTTAGAAATGTAATGTAATAAAACAGAAAGTCGGATAACATAACAGTCAATCCTTTTGTCAAGGCGCTCTTCGCCCCTCCAACCCAGCTTAAATAGTCGCTCCAAGCCTGGGGCGTGTCATTCAGACTCTGTCTTCTCGACAGACCTGTTCTCCACCTGAGGACGGCTTCTTGCGTTGTGGCCGAAACGTCGAGAGAATTATTTTATTATTTATTATTTAATTATTACTGTATCATTTCCATTCTACGTGACTTTACCGAAAGAACCAAGAAGAGTCAACACCCTACCTGGTTGATTACGTTCTTCCTGAGAATGCTAAATTCAGCATTCTTTTACATTCTTAGCATTCTCAGGAAGAACGTAATCAACCAGGTAGGGTGTTGACTGTTATGTTATAGAAGTCTCTCCCCGACGTTTTCGCTTCGCCCGCCGCAGCGGCGACCTCTTGCCCATACGAGCACCCCGGGCCTGCTGACGAGAACTCAGTGGTCGAAACCCGTTTCGCGTTT